ATTAAGAATTTGAGCAGGGCTGTGGTGGTGTGCATCTTTAATCCCACCACTCAGGAGGCAGAGTCCTGTGGATCTCTGAGTTCAAGGCCAGCCTGGTCTACAGAGAGAGTCCCAGGACTATACAGAAAAACCCTGTCTTACGTGGGGGAAGGATATCAGTAATTCAAGGCTATTCTAGACTACAAATTGTGTTCAAGTTCGTGTATCCCAAGACTGACTTGAGATACAAGAAACCCTGTCTCAGCCAGGCGGTAGTAGCGCACATCTTTAATCCCAGCACTTGGGAGGCAGAGGCAGGTGGATCTCTGAGTTCAAGGTCAGTCTGGTCTACAAAGTGAGTTCCAGGACAGCCAGAGCTGTTATACAGAGAAAACCCTGTCTTGAAAAATATATACATAGAGGCTGGAGAGATAGTTCAGTGGTTAAGGCCCAAGGTCACTCAATTTTTTGGTACTAGTTTTGCAGAGGATCTGAGCTCAGCTCCCAGCGCTCACATCAGGCTGCTCAAGGGCCTGTGACCCCAGCTCTGAGGAATCCGATGCCTCCGGCCTTGGCAAGCACCCAAACTCATACCTTAAAAAAGCAAATCTTTAAAAATGAAAAGACATGGGCTGGAGAAATGACTCAGTGGTTAAGAGCACTGACTGCTCTTCCAGAGGATCTGAGTTCAGTTCCCAGCACCCACATGGCAGCTAAAAACTGTCTGTAACGCCAGTTCCAGAGGACCCAAAACCCATGGCAAAACACTAATGCACATAAAATAAAAATTACAAAAAAAAGTTTAAAAAATGAAGAGATATAGATGTCATACTTGAACAGTGCTACTAGGAACCACAATCATCCAATAATAACTAACAATTGTTAAGCACCTATATGTAATAGGTTGTTGTGAGACAATCTTTTTGTAGACTGTGAAGATATATTTCTTCCAAGGCACCTTCTGATTGGTTGAATAAAGAGCTGAATGACCAATAGCTAGGCAGGAGAGGATAGGCAGGATTTCTGGGCAGAGATAGAAACTCTTTGAAAAAGGAAGGCGGAATTCGCCAGCCGGACACTGAGGGAATGGGACATATTGTACGGAGGAAAAGTAACAAACCACATGACAGAATGCAGATTAATATAAATGGGTTAATTTAAGTTATAAGAGCTAGTGTGAACAAGCCTAAGCTAAGGCCAAGCTTTTGTAATTCATAAGAAGTCTCTGTGTCATTATTTGGGAGCTGGTGGTCCAAAGAAAGTCCACCTACAATAGGTTCTTCACATACAGCATCTCAGTTAAACTTCACAAAATGCATTACATTCATTCATTTTACTGAGGTTAAACAACAAGCTACCCAAGGTCACTCAATTAGCAAATGGCAGAACCTCAGGTTAGCCTCAATCATCCCGCCTCATGGATTTTCCTGGAGGAGGAAAGGGGTCTTTCTTGCTGTGTAGCACAGGTTGGCCTTGAACTCAAGATTCTCCTGTGTCGGCCTCCACAGTGCTAAGATTACAGGTATGCTCCATGACACCCAGCTTCAACCACCCCATTTCAGTGAGACTGCTATTAACTGCCTTGCTTGTAATGTTCTTAGTGTAATATGTTGACAGCAATCTGTGTACATCACAGCACCACCCACACACTGAGGTTGTTTACTTCTTCCTCCCAGTCATCAAGATGCTCTCAGGAAAGCCATTCACCCTTTCTTTCATTCAACAAATATATGGGGAGTGCTTCTTGCATGACAGGCTCTGTGCTAATTGCCAGGAATACAGCAATGAATCAGACAGACTTCCTGGGTGGCACGTATCTATAATCCCAACTCTCTCGGAAGGTGGAGACAAGAAAGCAGCTAGGTACTATGTACTGAGTTTAAGACCATTTTGGGTTACTCAAAAAGAAAGAAAGGCAGGCAGAAAAGAAGGAAGCAAGCAATCAAGTAAGCACACAAACAAGTCATCTTAAGGCACTGCCTCGCCACCAGGCCTAATGGAAAGAGAGAACCAACTCCTGTAAGACCTCCTCCACATGTGTGTCATAGAACAAAATAAATGGGAAAAATTAAAAACAAACAACACATAAAGGATTGATTTGTGCCATTATGTGGCTAGCTAATGGTATTCTAATGGTTGAAACAGAAATAGACACAAACAAGCAGTTACAATGTGGCGACACCTGGGAGATAGTTCCAGGTCATCCTCAGCACCACAACAAATGTGCAGCCAACCTGGGCTACATGAAACATTGTCTCAAAAAGAACAGCAAACACACACACACACACACACACACACACACACACACACACACACACACACACACACACACACACACACAGAGAGAGAGAGAGAGAGAGAGAGAGAACCCAAACGTGTCTACCATGTTAGAGGCCCTGCATTGTAAACAAACAAATACATACATACATAAATGAAAATTTCTTAAAAAGCCACTTGACAGCTTGATCTATGTAGCAAGTTTTAGACCAGCCAAGGCTTCATAATGAGCACCTATCTCAGAGAGAGAGAGAGAGCAATAAAAACACCAGATATGGTGGGGAATGCCTGTAGTTCCAGCTACTTGAAGTGGCTGAGGCAGGAATCCCTCTTAGATCTATAAGTCTAATATCCAAGACCAGTTTAGGTAGTGAAGAAAGAAAAAAAAAAGGTAGGGAAAGATGCAGTTACAAATGAAAGCAGGAAAGGGAGGAGGATTGGAAGAGACGTGACAAAAATGTGTGAGTTTGTGAAGTTATATATAACCAGATAAAAGGGACTAACTTGTGAAATAGAAAGGGAAGAACATTCTTCCAGGTTTCTGGCTTATGGTCAAGATTTAAAAAACTCTCTATCCTAGACACCAAGTACAGGGCTTGACATTTCTTATATGCCTATCATTATTTTTACAATAATTTTAACTCAGGGCCTCTTAACTGAAAAGTATAAACTCTATCACAAAGTTCAGGCACATACTCCTTTTATTTTATTCTTCAAGATTTACTTACAGGTGGCTGGAGAGAGGGATTAGTGGTTAAAAGCACTTACTACCTTTGAGAGTAGCTGGGCTCTTTCCCCAGCACCTACACAGGGGCTCACAACTGCCTGTAACTCTACTTCTAGGAATCCAATACCCTCTTTAGGCCTCCAAGGGTTCCTGCACACACGGTACACAGAAACTCTCCTAGGCACAAACACATGCATACACAAAAATAAATTTAAAAGATTTACTTTTGTTTTGTTTTGTTTTGTCAAGACAGGGTTTCTCTATAGCTTTGGAGCCTGTCCTGGAACTCAACTCTGTAGATCAGGCTGGCCTCGAACTCACAGAGATCCGCCTGTCTCTGCCTCCCAAGTGCTGGGGTTAAATGCGTGTGCCACCACCGCCCAGCTTAAAAGATTTACTTTCAAGAGTGGAGAGATGGCTTAGCAGCTAAGAGCTCTGGCTGCTTTTCTACAGGAACTGGTTCAATTCCCAGCACCTACATTTTGACTCACAACCATCTGTTTCTCCAGTTCCTGAGGATCCAATGAGTTATCTGGCCTCCACTAGCACTGCACATACATGGTGCACAGATACACTGGAAGAATATGTATATACTTATACACATAAAATAAAATAAAATTACTTGCATGGCCTATGTCTCTAATCTCACCAGTCAGGAGGCAGGTGGATCTCTGTGAGTTCCAGAGCATCCAGGGGTACAGAGTGAGACACTGTCAAAAAAAAAAAAAAAAAAGATTTATTTACATGTAGGTATGTGTACCATGGGAGTGCCTGGTGCCAAAGGAAGGGCATCTGATTTCCTAGACCTGGAGTTACAGCAGTTGTGAGCCTCAGTGCTGTGTGGGTTCCGTGAACCAAACCCAGGTCTTCTCCATGAGCAAGTGCTTTTAACCCCTCGACCATGTCTCCAGGGGTAGAATTCTTTTTGTTGTTGTTTGTTTGTTTCCAAAATTCTTTTTCCCTCCCTTAATTCCACCCCCCCCCCCCCCCCCCGTGTGTGTGTGTGTGTGTGTGTGTGTGTGTGTGTGTGTGTAAAGAATACAGGTATCATACTAATGAATGTGGAGGTCAGAGGACAACTTGCAGGAGTCAGTTCTCTCCTTCCACCACGTGGGTCCCAGGGCATAGAGGCAGGTGCCTTTACCACTGAGAGGTCTCATATGTCCTGAGGTGCCAACTCTTGACCTCTTTGCCTTCTGGTTACTCCCCTCTGCTTTACCTTATTTATCTTACAATGTAGTCCTGGCTGGCCTGAAACTCCCTACATAGACTAGGCTGGCCTAGAACTCAGAAATCTGCCTGCCTCTGCCCCCTGAGTGCATCTATCCCTCCACTGGAGTGCTGGGATTAAAAATATGGGTTACTATGTCCAATTTATTTTATTTATTGAAACAGGGTATCATATAGCCCTGGCTGGTCTGGAATCCCTGTGTAGACCAGTCTAATCTTGAGCTCAAAGAGATCTGCCTGCCTCTGCCTCCTAAGTGCTAGGATTAAAGGCGTGCACTATCACACGTAGCCTAGGTAGCCTAGATCAGAGGTCTTAAAAGGTAGATGCCAAAGTGCCATTTTGAGAGTTTCCCTCATAGTAGTTCAGGCTCAGCCTCGTGAATGGGATTTCTGGGATGAGCCTTCACGCCCCGTTCCAAGTGGTTTTGTAAAATAATATGTTAATAAAGGTAAAGTAAATCTGGTGAAATATTAACACTGAATGAAGAAAAGTATTTAGAAATCCACTGTTACGATGGCTCTGTGTTTAAACATTTAGTGTCTGAATTGTTATATTTTAAGAAGGAAAAGCTGGAGAGAAGCTATGTTAGAATTATAGATACTTGAACTAACCCTGGCTGTGAAAACAGGAAAAAACAAATTCAAGATATATTTTAGAGGTAGAAATCACATGACTTGCTCATAGATACATAAGTTAGATGCTGAGAACCACTAGCACAAACAGACAAAAAAAGAAAAAAAAAAAACCCACCGGAAGCCAAAGCAAGCCCCACCCTTCCCTTCCCAGAGAGGGAAGTGAGGACAGAACGCGACCAGCTGGACTCACACGCGCTTCCGGTCTAGTGTCGCGAAGAGGCTGTAAATTCGAGGACCTCCTGTGGTCCCTCCCACAATGGGCGGACCCCTGCGAAGTACTGACCAATAGTGAGCGAGACGGCGTGCACTAGCCCAATGGTCCTGCAGTGGGTGGAGCCTGTGACAGGAGTTTGAGCCCCGGAGTTGGCGTTTCGGCCCACGTGGGAGCTGCGCGGTAGATCCGGCTGGAATCCCGAGTGCGGGAGAGTGGTCTGCCGTGGAGATGGGGCCGGCCCCCGCCGGAGAGCAGCTCCGCGGAGCAGCAGGGGAGCCAGAGGTTGGTTGATCTCAGTAGGTGGAAGAGAGTCTCAAAATGTGCTTTCTTGGCTACAGAGCCTGAGATAGTCAGGCCTGACAGCTAGCTTGTGAGGGACTTCAGGGTGGCCCGTTCTGGAGGAACCGTTTGGAAGCTAGGCCTGGCAAGATCTGAATAGAGCAGGGGTGGAGGGGATATTTAAAAAGCCGCAAGCCTGTCTCAGCAGAAGATTTGTGGGATCTGAAAACACGAGGGCTCTGGGGCACTGCTTAAGGCGGTGAGCAGTAAACGGGTGCAGCCAGGTCCACGCAGGACTGCAGGCTTGTGCTGTCAGACTCATCCCGATGATGGACATCCCGAGTTTTATAAAATCTGATGCCCACTGAAGGGGAGGACCTGGGGTAGATGAATACTTTCCCCACAACCTTTAGAAAGCTGAGATAGATACCCACGATTTCATGTTGGCTTTTCCTTCTCGGGCCATAGATTTTGGGACTTGCCCTAGAAGGCGTGAGCAAGGAGAAGGGGACCTCAAGAAAGCGTGCAAAAGCAGAGCCACCTGCGGAAGGCCTCCTGCAGCCAGTGAAGCTCAGTCGGGCAGACCTGTACAAGGAGCCTACAAATGAGGAGCTGAATCGCCTGCGGGAGACTGAGACCTTGTTCCACTCCAGCTTGCTTCGTTTACAGGTACTTGGGTGACCAGGGCACAGGTTAGAGGGGCTTGCTTGGGGTCCTGAGGCTGACAGGTTCTCCCCTTTCCCTCTCTTACAGGTGGAGGAGTTACTGAAGGAAGTGAGACTCTCAGAGAAGAAGAAAGAGAGGATTGATGCTTTCCTGAAGGTGGTCAAGCAGCGGATCCAGAGAGTGCCCTCAGTCCCCGAGACAGAGGTGAGACCGGTGGCCTGGCGAACAGCGAGGCATCTGACACAGTTTGCTGTTCTCCCAAGAGAGTGGGGCGCTGGGGAAATGGTTGTCACTGCAAGAAAACTGAACCAGGTCACCAGCTGTCCATGTATTCATCTCTCAACAACCATATGTATGTCTTGCACAAATTTTACAGGATTTTGTTTGTTTGAACAGGGTCTTTTGTAGCCCTGGCTGGCCTTCAGCTCCTAGTAGTCCTGCCACAGCTCCCAAGCGCTGAGATTGAGGGCCTGAGCCACACTTTGGTTTTTAACACAGGGTCTTAACTCTGTAACCCATGTTGTCCTCAAACTGGTGGCAGTCCTACTTTAGCCTCTGAGTGCTGGGATTGCAGCTGTGAACCTTTACTTCCAACCAAAAATGGATTGTTTGTTTGTTTGTTTTGTTTTTTTGTTTTTCGAGACAGTTTCTCTGTGTAGTCCTGGCTGTCCTGGAACTCACTCTGTAGACCAGGTGACCTGAACTCAGAGATCTGCTTGCCTCTGCCTCCCGAGTGCTGGGACTAAAGGCATGTGCCACCACCGCCCGGCTTGCTTTCAACTTTTCAATGTAGCACTTTTTTTTGGGGGGGGGGATTATTTCTAGACAGGGTTTCTCTGAGTAGATCTGGATATTTTTGTTTCATGTATTTATTTATTGGGACAGGGTCTTGTATAGTCGAGGCTGGCCTTGAACTTGATTACTATATAGTCAAGGGAAACCTTGAACTCCTGATCTTCCTGCCTTCCCAAATGCTGAAAATGGGTAATAATAGAATTAAATCATGGTGGCTTAAATATTTTTGTGAGTCAAGTTGCCTTCATGGAGAAGATGTTTATGGAAGGTTGAGAGTTTAGTTTTTAACATACTGGTATGTTGTCTACTAGACATTGAGGGTTTGTGAGGAAGACAGTAGAATCCATGTGTTTTCTCTCTGTCCTTACAGCTCACTGACCAGTCATGGCTGCCAGCTGGGGTTCGAGTGCCGCTACACCAAGTGCCGTATGCTGTGAAGGGTTCCTTCCGCTTCCTGCCTCCATCCCAGATCACTGTTGTGGGCAGCTACCTTCTGGGTACTTGTATCCGACCAGATATCAATGTGGATGTGGCACTGACCATGCCCAGGGTAAGGCCCATGGTTTGGGGGATATAGAGGCCCACCACCACTCTAAGGGTAGCTTAGATGTAGCTGAGGGAGCCCTTGGTCCAGTTACTGTCCCTTTGGGACTTTGTGCTCTTTGTCTGGAAATGGGATGTGTTGCTCCTGTTGGTTTAGGCATTCCTGAGTCACTGAAGAAGCCCTGGACTTAAGCCTTGCTTCGACCTAGCCCCTAGCTCTGTAAGCACTTACGTGTCTGACTTCTCTCTTCTTCCCTGACTCCTCCAGGAAGTCTTACAGGACAAAGATGGGCTGAACCAGCGCTACTTCCGCAAGCGAGCCCTTTACCTAGCTCACTTAGCTGACCACCTGGCCCAAGATCCACTCTTCGGCAGTGTTCGCTTCTCTTACACCAGGGGCTGCCACCTGAAGCCCTCCCTGCTGCTGCGGCCACATGGTGGGAGTCACACACGGGGTTTAGTGCACAGTATGGGGTGGCAGATCTGGAGGGTGGGGTCACAAGGTCAGAAGGTCTAGAGGAGTAGAAATGGAAGTCTCAAGGCCAAGGTGGGAGGCATTGGTTTCAAATTCCAAGACAGGAAGTTATGGGTCTCCAGGTATGAAGGGGTGGTAAGGGGATCCCCCTGGTCCCAGGAGTTGTAGAATGTCAGTATTCCTTGTCTCTACCCAGGGAAGGATGAGCGCCTGGTTACTGTACGTCTGCACCCATGCCCTCCTCTGGACTTCTTCCGCCCTTGCCGCCTGCTGCCAACCAAGAACAATGTGCGTTCTGCCTGGTACCGAGGGCACAGTGTTCCAGAGAGTGGTAAGTGGCCACTGGTGTTGGAATGTGTTGGTGGACAGGGGTTTGGTGGAGGCTTCTTTCCTCACAGCCTCTATTTTTTCCTTGACAGCCAACCCAGAGCCCCCTACACCCCACTATAACACATGGATCCTGCAGGATACAGCTCTTGAGTCTCAAATGCACCTGCTGTCAACTGTGCTGGGCTCTGCCCAGGGGCTGAAGGATGGTGTAGCACTTCTGAAGGTTTGGCTGAGGCAGCGGGAGCTGGACAAGGTGAGTTGGGTGGGGGGATAGCCCGGTCTCCTCACCTCATTGTGTGATGGGCTGCTTCTGAGCTCAGTTCTGTCATGTCTCTTTTAGGGCCTGGGTGGATTCAATGGCTTCCTTATTTCCATGCTGGTTGCCTTCCTGGTGTCTAAACACAAGATCCATGTTACCATGAGCAGCTACCAGGTCCTGAGAAGTGTCTTGCAGTTTCTGGGTAAGGTGGCTGGACTGGAGAGGCCAGGGGTTCCTTATCCCAGGGATCCTCTCATTCCTCCAGAGCTTGTTCCTTGTCACCAAAGATGAGAAAACGGTCTGAGACAAGCAGGTGTAGCCACCCAGGCTGAGGGAGGGAAGGAGGGAGAGAGGGTTCACTATGGCAGGGTCCCAGGAAGAACCTTCTAACACGCCTGCCTTCTCTGGTTCACTCTAGCCAGTACAGATCTGACCGTCAATGGGATCAGTTTATCTCCCAGTTCAGATCCCTCCTTGGTGAGTTGGGGAGGGGCAGGTCTGTGCCAGGAGGCCTGAAGGTAAACTTGAGCCCTGATTGGCTTCTTTCTGCCTCCCAGCCAGTCCTGGCTGACTTCCACCAGCTTTTCCCAGTTGTGTTCCTGGACTCTACAGGCCGCCTCAACCTCTGTGCAGATGTTACAGCTCCCACTTACAAGCAGGTACCAATGGGCTCCTGTTCCTCTACCCTCCAGAGGACCCAGTTCAGACACTGTTCCTTTGTCAGTCCCAGAGCCTCAGACACTCCTCTCCAAAGAAGTAAGGTCAGATGTGACGCTTTCAGCCAATGAGGGTTACAGCTGTGGTCCCTCCTGTACCCTGTGGCCCAGGTGCAGCACGAGGCACAGCTGTCCATGGCCTTGCTGGACAGCAAAGCTGACGATGGATTTCAGCTGCTGTTGATGACTCCCAAACCCATGATCCGGGCTTTCGACCACATTGTCCAGTGAGTTTGGGGTGATGCAGGGTGTGGGTCATTGAGGAGGAGGAGGAGTCAAGGACCTAGTGGGTCCTGATTGGTCCCTTTTGTCCCTCCAGTCTCCGCCCACTGAGTCGTCTGCAGGCAGCATGTCACCGGCTCAAGCTTTGGCCAGAGCTGCAGGACAATGGTGGGGACTATGTTTCAGCAGCTTTGGGCCCGCTAACCACGATTTTGGAGCAGGGTCTGGGCTCCCGGCTGCACCTTCTGGCTCACTCTCGGCCTCCAGTCCCAGAGGTGAGACCATGTAGAATGGAGAGTTTGTGGGGTCCCAAGGGACACAAAAGACAGGCTGCCCGGCTGGTTGGTTTCTAGGCTGGGGGACTTTGGGGTTGAACTCAACCTTTTCGTACTCGACAGTGGGGTATCAGCCAAGATCCACCGAAGCACAAGGACTCTGGGACCCTGACCCTGGGACTGCTCCTCCGGCCTGAGGGACTGACCAGTGTTCTTGATCTTGGTCCTGAGGCTGACCAGCCTGAGGTGTGGAACCCCAGCCTGTCCATGGGGAGGAGTGGGTGGGTCATCCTCATGCTAACCAAGTTGAGGCCTGTCATATGGAGGTTTCTGAGTCAGCCTGTATCTTACTTGAATGCTTAGAGCTGAGCTTAGGGCTTTGAGCATGTTATAAGGCAAGTACTCTAGCACTGTGCTACAGCCCAGCTCAGTCTTTCTTTCCTGATCTTTCCTTCTGTCCTTTGCTTCTCCCCTAGGCTGCTGACTTTCGTCAGTTTTGGGGATCCCGCTCAGAACTTCGACGGTTCCAGGATGGAGCCATCCGGGAAGCTGTGGTCTGGGAGGCAGCCTCGATGTCTGAGAAGCGCCTTATTCCTCACCAGGTGGTCAGCCACCTCTTGGCACTGTGAGTGTTAGCATCTTCATGCCAGGAGGCTGCTGTGGTCAGGCAGGGCAGCCATTTTTGATGGGCATAGCCCCTGATCCCCTCATTGTATCTGTGTTCTTCAGCCATGCTGACATCCCAGATACCTGTGTCCACTATGTGGGCGGATTTCTCGATGCATTGATCCAGCGCCCAAAAGAGGTAAGAGCCTGGGCTCTGAAGTGAGTGAGTGTGGAGTAATGCCTCATGGCGAGACTGGAAAGAGCCCTTTTCTACCATGACTAGGCTGTATCTTCTTGTGTCCAGCAGGGGGTGCACTGGTCCTGCTGTAGCCTGAGTCATGGCAGGATCCTAGGTGGTGCTGGGGTTTTGTAAGACCCAGACTTCTTCCTGAGTGTCTTCTCTTCATCAGATCTCCAACACAGGTGAAGAGGCCCTGGCACTGGCTGTGCGTTGCTATGATGACCTCAGCCGCCTACTGTGGGGACTGGAGGGTCTCCCACTCACTGTGTCTGCTGTTCAGGGAGCTCACCCAGTGCTGCGCTATACAGAGGTAAGGTGGGGAGTCCTTTCCGGTTGGTGCCTCCCACCACTCCTCTGTTCCAGTCACTCAGTGTTCGTCCTTTTACCTCCTGTCTCTGGGCTCTCCCTCCCTGTTAAAGTTACCGTCCTCATCTCTCCCACAGGTCTTCCCTCCAGCCCCAGTTCGACCGGCCCATTCCTTCTATAAGCATCTCCAGGAGCGGGCCTCATTGCTGCCCCGGCTGGACAAGCCCTGCCCGGCCTATGTGGAGCCTATGACGGGTAGGAGGGTGTTGGGGAGGGGGTGGGAGAGGCAGCAGGCGGCAGTATTAAATCTCTCACCCTTGTGTTCTTCAGTGGTTTGTCACCTGGAGGGCAGTGGGCAGTGGCCTCAGGATGCGGAGGCTGTGCGGCGGGTGCGAGCCGCCTTCCAGCTGCGCCTGGCAGAAGTGTTGACGCAGCAGCATGGGCTACAGTGCCTTGCCACTGCCACACACACGGACGTCCTCAAGGTCAGGCTGGTGCGGGGTGGATGTCACAAAGAGTGGGCTCCGGGGATGCAGGCAGCAGAGCACCCCCAAGTTCTGACATCACTTCCTTTGCCACATCTTCCCGCAGGATGGGTTTGTGTTCAGAATCCGAGTGGCCTATCAACGGGAGCCCCAGATCCTGAGGGAGGTACGGAGCCCTGAGGGGATGATCTCCATGAGAGACACACCTGCCTCCCTCCGCCTTGAGAGAGACACCAAGCTGCTGCCCCTGCTCACCAGTGCCCTGCATGGGTAAGGCTACGTGCATAAGCTCTTCTTGGATGTAGGCCTTCTGCTGCCCCATTCTGCTCTCCTGCCTCCCAGACTCGGAGAGGCCAGATAGCATAATACCTCAGTTGTCAAATGGTAGTACGTTAGCACCAGTCTCCCAGGTATTTGCCAGGAGAACCTTGGATAACATATGAACGCATTAGGGCAGAGGCTGAGTGACTGGCAGTGGGGCTGACATCCTGTTTGGGGCTCCGAGTTCCTGGCTCTTAATGCCATTCCCGCCTCTCCCAGACTCCAGCAGCAGCACCCAGCCTTCTCCGCTGTGGCTCGCCTGGCCAAGCGGTGGGTGCGTGCCCAGCTTTTGGGTGAGGGATTCACGGATGAGAGCCTGGACCTGGTGGCTGCTGCCCTCTTCCTGCACCCTGAGCCCTTCACCCCTCCCAGGTAATTCCTCCAACATGTCCCTTACCCAGAAAGTTGTCCTTCCTGATGCAGTTCTTACTCTAAATGGGGGAGGGTGGCTGAGTACCTGACAGGACATTTTCAGACACCCAGACCTCCCACAGTCTGCAAAGGGATTATGGGAAACTTGGGGGGGACATCAGGCCTCTGATTCTTTCCTGTTCTGTCTACTCAGCTCCCCCCAGGTTGGTTTTCTTCGGTTCCTTTATCTGGTATCTACCTTTGATTGGAAGAACAACCCTCTCATTGTCAACCTCAACAGTGAACTGACTGGTAAGTGGTAGGACTCAGATCAGACTACCGGAAGAACTCCCCTCTATGGGTGGCACAGTAAGACCGAAGGGGTCTGCCTGGAATTCTGTCAGGGAAGCCTCCCGCACCCAGGTGTCTAAGCTACTGTCTACCTTGGGGAAGAGAATTGTCAGGAGGAAGAGGCCCATATTAAGTCTGGCTTAGAGACTTTGCCCATGTGGTGGTCCATGACAAAATGGACTGGGATGGTAAGCACGCCACCCAGGGGGCTGTGGGGAGAGGGGAGAGCAGAGGAAGGCTTCTTGAATACTAGGTGAGAGGTCTGTGCAGGGGCGGGGGAGGGGCAGGAAGTGAGACTAGGTGCCCACACCTTGCGGGTGGGATTGTTGATTTCCCATTGTAATCTTAGGAGCTCTGGGTCTCAGAGAACAGGGTGTCGGGTTCCTAATTCTCCAGGTGTGTGAGAGCCCAGGATGAGGGGGGCCTTGGGCAGGCCTCAGCTTGTGTAAGTCAGAGACTAGTCTGGGGGTGATAAGCAGTGGAAAACTTGGCCTCTGGGCTGAAGCTGGGAGATTAACACCCCACCCCTTTAAGGCCCATGTGGTGTCCCTTTTATAACCTTTGTCCTTTAGGAGAGGGGTATTGGAAAATCCCTGTGATGGGCAGTTACTGGTTACACCGTGGGAGGACCTGGGGCAGTAAAGGTCTTTCTGGGGAGGCTGATGTAGTATCCCCTGTCATCTCTAGCTGAGGAGCAGGTAGAGATTCGAAGTAGTTTCCTGGCGGCTCGGACCCAACTCCCAGTCATGGTCATCATTACTCCCCAGGACCGCAGAAGCTCTGTGTGGACGCAGGATAGACCTTCTGCCCAGGTTCAACCCCATACCTGTCCCTAAATTTAATTTTTTTTTTATACTAAGAAGAAAGACCCAGGCCAAGCTAGGAGAAGTATGATCAATCTTGTGACTTTTCTGTGTCCCAGATCCTTCAGCAGCTCGTGATCCTGGCCGCTGAGGCCCTTCCTGTCCTAGAGAAGCAGCTGATGGATCCCCGGGGTCCTGGGGACATTAGGGTAAGCATCAGACTCAGGGTAACTCCTAGGGCCAGAAGTCCATGGTTCAAGGGCTTCTCAGGATACCCAGTTGCTCTGTTTGGTGAGACATAATATAGAGAAGGCTTTGAAGCTGCCGTGGTGCCTGGCAGTGGTGGAGCCTGGTGGAAATCCTGGGCATCCTTTCTGCTTCTGCTTCTGCTTCTGGACTCCAGCTGGCCCTTGCTGCTCCCCTCTGTGGGGTTTGCTGTTCTCACCTCCCTGTGGGCACACAAGCCCGTAATGGATGGCCAGATGCATGGGAATGAGGTCGTGGAAGGGTGACTTAAAGGTTTCCTTAGACAGTGTTCCGGCCACCCTTCGACATGTACGATGTACTGATCCACCTGACTCCCCGCCACATTCCGCGACACCGTCAAGCTGTGGACCCTCCAGCTGCTTCCTTCTCCCGTGGTCTGCTCAGTGAGCCAAGGCCTTCATCTCTGATGCCCGTCCTGGGCTATGATCCCCCTCAGCTCTATCTGGCACAGCTCCGGGTAAGTTCTAAAGGACTGGTCGGCCTAGGGAGTGTTCAGTGGAGCCAGAGCCATGGAGGTTCTAGGTGCCTAATGTAATCTTATTTGTGTTCTGTCCTTTCTAGGAGGCCTTTGAAGATCTGGCACTTTTCTTCTATGATCAGCATGGTGGGGAGGTGATTGGTGTCCTCTGGAAGCCCGCCAGCTTCCAGCCCCAGCCCTTTAAGGTATGCTGACCAGTGACTGTCACGTGTTGCTGACATGTACATGTGGTTCTCTGTGAGTATGCATTTCTGTGTGGCCCTGGGTCAAGTATGTGTAGGGGCTCATCTATCTGTCTATACTGCCCCCAACCTTGCATCTCAGTGTGTGCCTTTGTGATACTTCAACTCAAATTTATTCTCTGATTCTTCAGGCCTCCAACATAAAGGGACGCATGGTAGTGTCTCGAGGTGGGGAGCTTGTGATGGTACCCAACATAGAAGCAATCTTGGAGGACTTTGCTGTGTTGGGTGAAGGCCTGGTACAGGCTGTAGAGGCCCGAAGCGAGAAGTGGACTGTGTGATTCCAACTTTGTGACAAGCAGCAGGTGGACTGTGGGATTTGGCCCTCTGGAGCAACATGTCAGTGGGCAGCCACTTCACTAGGGACACCTTCTGACCTGAACACTGATCATCCCCAGAGGAGGCCCTGCCAGATTGTTCGGTCTGGTGCTTTAGCACTGGGGCAGGGGCTATGGTGTCCTGTGTCCGCTAGACCTAACCAATCAGAGTCTCAGAAGAGGAGCACCAGCTCCGAGGAAACTGAGTCCACAAGCTCCATTTGCCTGTTCTGTCAGTCCTGAGTCAGCCTGAACTGTTTTTCTCTCCATCTTCATCTTCCTGAAACAGCTGAAGCTGTGGTGGAGGCCAGGTCCTCTTCTCACTGGCGGGACACACGTGCCCAGATAGCAGTGTGCCTTTCAGGCCTTCAGATAGGACCCCAAAGAAGCTGTGTCCCTTCTCGAGGGTCACAGCACCAGCACTGAACAGTGGAAAGGGGACTGTGTGTGTGAGTAGAACCCATTGAACAAGCACAGAGCCATCCTGTGTTAACGCTACTGCCTCCCAGCACAGTAACAGTTTGAAAAGACAGGCCACAGGGCCTCCGTGTGTGGAGTTGAGGGGATCCTCCAGTCCGGAAGGAATGCATAAAGCACTGGGTGCTGCCGCCTGGCCTCTCCGTGTGAGTCCGCCCTTCCTTTGCACTGCCTTTCGCTCCCCATTACTGTGCTGCACACCTGCTCTCCAGGAGCTCTGAGGGAGGCAGGCTGCTGCCTCTCAGCCTGATCCACACCCCTCTGGCAACCGCTCCCTGCTTCCCTCCCCTAATCCTGGCTGGGTTTTTAGAGTCAGCTCAAATAGCACCCCTCCTAGTCCCTGCCCTCACCCCGGCCTGAGGTGTCCTCTTGTGAGCTGTGGGTGCAACTGCTCCTTGTCGAGGTCACTTGGCAGTCGTGCACACCAGTGTGCACGTTCTGTTGTCTTGAACTCTGATTTAAAATTAAATTGCCTAATGCTTTCTGGGCTCCTGACTTGTCTTTTCTCATGGTTTTAGCCTGCTCTGTGAGAAAGCTCCGTGAGGACAGAGAGCATGCTGCACACAGATGACTTGGTGCTCCTCGTGGCACCAAGGATGGGGCTCAGGGAGAAGACAGACATGTGTAAAAGGAGCACCCAGCCCAGGCAGGTGGAGACCAGGGCCGCCACCAGAAGGCCACAAGGAGTTGTGGATCATGCCTTCACAGGCGAGTGGTGGTGGAAAAAAACCTTAGACTATGTAATGGTATCACATAACCTTTAATCCCAGCACTCGGGAGGCGGAGGCGGGCAGAGCTCTGTGAGTTCGAGGCCAGCCTGGTCCACAGAGTGAGTTCCAGGACAGCCAGGGCTACACAGAAATCCTTTCTCCAACAAACAAACAAAGAACAGGCTGGAGAGACAGCTCAGTAGTTAAGAGCACAGGTCTTGAGTTCAATCCCCAGCATCCACATGGCAGCTCAAAACTAGTCCCATGGGATACAATGCACTCTTGTGATGTGCAGACATACATAGAGACAAAGCATCCATGTACAGAAAATATATACATAAGTCTTAACAACAACACATATATATATGTATATATATATATACACACACACACACACACACACACACATATATATATCATACACTGTTACACTGTTAGGTGTTGGCTTCCATACCTTTCCTTAGTCTTTTGAGACAGGGTCCTCTGTAGCCCATGTTGGCCTTGAATTCACTGTATATAGGTGAGTCTGGTGTTGAATATTCCTGAGTCTCCTGCCTCTATCTCCCAAGTGCTGGGATTATGGGTATATGTCATCATGCCTGGCTTGACTTCATATTTTATGTGTAGAAGTGTGGTTATATAATCATACCAGCTCTACAAAGGAGGTGCTTGGCCAGGCAGCAGTGGTGCACGCCTTTAATCCCAGCACTCAGGAGGCAAAGGCAGGCCCATCTCTGTGAGCTGGAGGCCAACGTGGTCTACAGAGTGAGTTCCAGGACAACCAGAGCTATACAGAGAATCCCTGTCTTGGGGGGGGGGGGAGGTATTTTTAACTCCTTTCTGAGTGAGGAATCAGGCTCAGTGCTGGGTGGGACCAGTGGGGCATAGATAACCAGTGAGCTCCATCACAATGAGAAGCTGTGTGAAGGAAGGAACTCCCATCTCCATTTTCCTGTCCCTACTGTCATTACAGAGCCCGGCCCAGGCTTGAAATTAGCACAGGAAATTGAATTGGTTGGAGTCTACATCTCTGTTATATAGTTCATTTGTGAAGAAGCATCTGTGTGCTGTAACCTCTTCCCTTACAAAGCCCTGTAGCCCGTGGTGGTCGAGGGTTGACCTTGGCTTGTCTCTGCCCCTCTTGCCCTTGGTTCCTTGGCCTATTTCTGCACAATTCCACTGTGGGCTCTGAGGAAAATCACGACTGGCTGGCCCTTTTCAAAACTGTTCTGTTTCATCCCCCAGGGCAGCTTCAGTCCCTTGTACAAGTCCAGCTCTGGATGGTTCAGTTGGAGGAAGGTGTGGGTAGTGTGCCCTGGAGGCAGGTCTATGGGGTGGGGGTGGGGGGGCAGGTCTATGGCGGGTGGCAGGTCTAAGGCAGGAGGCAGGTCTATGGCGGGTGGCAGGTCTATGGCGGGTGGCAGGTCTACAGCGGTTGGACGTCTATGGCGGGTGGTTCTAGGACCTGTAGATACCAGAACCCACCAGGAGTTGGGCCTCCCTTTGGCTTGGCTCACGCTTGCCGTCTGTGGAAGGCATACAACAATAGCTTTGTTGGGTGCCCTCTGCATGCCCAAGTGGCGAAAGAAGAGCAGATCTCAGAAACCCAAGGAGCCATACCACTCCTCACACACCGCTCTTGCCTGAGCCAGGGCAGGAAGCCTAAGCTTTCATTTAAATCCCTCACATGGCAGCTCCAACCTGTTTTCCTCACATCTTCTCCAGGAGGCAAGAAATGAGATGACTCTGCCCTGGCTCTTTGCTACAGGGCAGGGTGACACTTGCTTGGCCATTTGTGTCTCAGTCCACTGAGGCATCTGAAGAAGGCGCTACTCACGTGTTGACTGAGCGTTGGAGACAGGAGCTAGAACCTGGGGAAGGGAAAGTGGGGAGAAGGGAAGGGAGGCTCCACTCAGAGAAAGCCTTTGTGTGTGCTAGAGATGGTGTTGGGGGTACATCCCCATGGGGGCGCCTACCTTTGCACGCTCTTCACTGCAGGTGGAATAGATGGGGTCGTTTGATCTCTGGCATGGTCTGTCCTGTCTGTATGCAGTAGGCATGCACATGTGCACTCATGCATCTGTATGCCCTATTCTATGTCTATGTAGGCTTATTTTGTCTCCAGCACAAGGAATCACCGCAAAGAGGGAAATCTGGTTTTGGAGTTCAGGTCAGGAGAAAAAAACTCTCAAGTAAGAAGGAATGTAGGAATCCTGGACTTCTTCCTGTGGCTCTGAAAAAGCTGTTCACCTTGGGAGGAGGATGTTCAGACTTCCAAAGCTCTGATCTTTGAATCCTCTTTTGTTCAATGTGGTGAATTCTGAAAGGGCCCTCCTCCTTGACTGCAATACGGTCAATCTCTCAACTCAGTCGTCTTAGCTGAAACCCCTGTTTTCCTCCACCCAGCTCCTTACTTTGGAAGGAAAAGCACAGTGTCTCCAAAACCCAGGGGTCTGTGAATCAGGTTACACTCAACGGAGTCCTAGAGTCAGATTTGGGCTAACTAGCCTCTCCCCAATATACATGTCACCCCCTAACATCCGGTTCTTGTGAGTCAGGTATTAATCCAGGTGAGTGATAAGGGAGAGGGGAAGCGTGGGGCACTGAGTCATCCATACTCTTCACGCCAAAGGCCATTCTGCCCATTACCCTGCCTCAGAGGAGGAGGAGGCACCTCGGATTGCCCCAGGGAGCTAAGTAGGACCAAGGAAAGGGGTGTTCCAGATGGAGACTTCCTCCTGTTCCTCAACTTCTGAGAGGTGGGTGGAGAACATGGTTTTTCTGGTTTATGTGAGGTTCAGCCATGTAGGAACTTGTCCAGGGCAACAGTTGGGGGTAAAGCTCCAAGCTGTTCTGGCTGTGCTGAGCCTGCCCTTTGGGCCAAGAGGTGAGGTGAGGTGAGATGGGCTGAGGGGCAATGAAGGAGAGAAAGGCCTGAGCTGCAGGTCTGTCCAGAGGCGGACAAGGAGGGCGACACCTGGTCCACTTCTCTCTTCCGGCCTGCTAATTCTCCCCCTCGCCTCTCTTCCAGGCCCTGAATACGACTGCTGTAGCCAAGACCGAGAGGGGCCGGGTCAAGGGAAGGGACAGGGGATGGGAACATGAGTGCTCAGGTGCACCCCAGCTCAGGCCCAAGCTTCTGCCCCTCAAAAGCAAGACCTAGCCGGGTGGCAGTGGTGCACGCCTTTAATCCCAGCACTCAGGAGGCAGAGGCAGGCGGACCTCTGTGAGTTCGAGGTCAGCCTGGTCTACAGAGCGAGATCCAGGACAGGCTCCAAAGCTATACAGAGAAACCCTGTCTCGAAACACCCCCCCCCCCCCAAAAAAAAAGCAAGACCTAGTTCTCATCTATTTTGCAAGACAGATCTTGAAGTTCCCAAGAGCTGAAGAGGTCAATCGGGCCTTGACTAAAGGGCAGCATTGAGATCCAGCCACCTGTCCCACCTGTCAGTCAAAGTGTGGATGAAAAAGATACACAGAGAAAGGCATCCTGGCCTTTCTCTAATCTCCCCTCCACAACATGCCCCCTCCCACCTCCAAGCTTCTCAGCCCACTGACCTCAGAGCTAGAGGCCCTTAGGAAGAAATTTCTGAACTCTAACTGCAGAATCTCCTGATGTGCTCTGTCCCTTCCCTGGAGCAGTCCCCTGTGACTCCTCTCCCTTCAGGCAGGAAGCTGCCACCCTGTAATTAGCAGCCGGCCTGGGCTGGGATGAGGAGAGAGAAACCAGGACTCATGCAGCACATGGATAACCTTTTTTGGCATGTCATATATGGTATTTCCTTCTGTGAAATTCCTATGAATGTGCCTTCTGTCGTGAGGTCCTTTAAAGAGCCGTGGCCCAGCTGGTTCCTGGTTCGGACCTCAGGTCCAGCTCCTGTCCACTCACTTCGGTCCACCTGGATCATCTACTCCTCAGGCAATTTCCACACATCTGACTTCTTTCTCTTCTTTATGGCTCCTCCTAGGCCTCCTGGCTTCAGTTCCTCTCCTTCCAACCCATCCTCCACTGAACAGTTGGTGAGATCCTTCCCTGTGCAAATGCTGAAAACCCTCACAGCTCCCATCAGCCACTGTTGGTGGTAGGAGAACATCTTCCAGAGGTCCAGGCTCTGCATTCTAGCTTTCCTACTCCCCACCTTCCAGCTGTATCAGTCTCACACCCTCAGAGCCCAGGAGCTCACAGCACAGCTCAAATACCTCCTTGTCCCTGCATGAGATCTGGGCTCTCAGCGTAAGTCCCAGGTGCTTCTCAAGCACCTGTCTCCTCCTCTTGCTTCTCTGTGGCTGATAGCTCCCTGCTAGACAGACGATCATCTGTTATCTCTCACCTAGAAACCCAAGTATTCCTCAGCAGAAAGCCCACCAATTAGTCTAGCCCTTCTTTTCCTAGCTGCAGGGATGGACACTGTGCTAATTCTCGGCTTTAGTTTAGACCCAGGAAGCCTATGAGCATTTGAGCATTTCTGTCTTCTTCACCACTGTTTTTTTTGTTTTGTTTTTTTTAGGTTTATTTATTATGCATACAGTGTTCTGTCTGCATATATGCCTGCAGGCCAGAAGAGGGCGCAGGGCTCATTACAGATGGTTGTGAACCACCATATGGTTTCTGGGTATTGAACTCAGGACCTCTGGAAGAGCAGCCAGCGCTCTTAACCTCTGAGCCATCTCTCCAGCCCCCACTGCTGGTCTTGACCTCTCATCTTCTGGAAGAGCCCTCTTGGCTCCAAGAGCTTTCCTGTCAGTGAGAAGGAAGAGGGGAAATCAGAAGG